CTTCTGGGGCCTCAGCTACTGACACTTTCATATGGGGCTGTTGTTGCTCTTCATTGCCAAGAGGCAATTGATTCTATAGGCTCCTGTATAACAAGATCCTTATTTACATTATTCATCTTCTTCGAAGAGCTAACAACAGGTGTTGTATTGGTCATACAACATCAACAGGTATTGAGAAACTTGTTGCTCCTGAGTCACTGCAGTGGGCACACAGTCTCTTTTCTCTTCAAGTCTTAGGTCTCTACATACCTCTACATACCATGCTCCTCCAGATCTTCTCATCTTTTCTAAAAATGGTGTATCTTTAAATGTCTTATTTTGGGTTTAATCTTTTAAAACCTCATATGGCGCTTTAACAACCGCCTTTTTTAATCTTTTAAAATCTCATATGACACTTTAAGCACCACCTTAACATCTTTGAGGCTGACTACGCTATCTTCTTATTTGAACTTTAAAAGGTCCAAAAATTTAGCTATTTCTCTGCTTAGGGGTATCATTGTTGTGACCATTGTACTCCTCCAATGGTTTCATCTTAATTAATCTTTATCTCACTCTTTAATGAAGAGTATCTTTCTTAATTGATCTTCATACTCCCCCCTTCGAAATATGGCACGAGCTTTACTGCCATAATTTCGATAACTATTCAGAAAGCCTGTGAACGGGGAGACACTTATAACTTACTTCATTAACATGATTATGTCATGCAAACAAAATTATTTCTTGATCTATTTAGGAGTAGACTTTCCTTATTTCACTTCAACAACTCAATAAGGTATTTCATTAACTGTACTTTTGCAAGTCACACTTGCATCTTTTCTTATCTTTTGGTCAGTATTAACCATGACGATGCATTTTCTATTGTGCCAAGGTCAGTGCTAGGGCAGCATAAGAGCTACCCAAACTTCTCTCGCTATGCTGGATACAAAACATGTGAATCATCACAAAACTTCTCCCGCCATGCATGATTGACTAGCATAAGTACTATGCCAAACTTCTCCCCATACGGGATACATCTATTCGAAAACTTAGTCATGACGACTAAAACATTCACTTATACTTTATTTTTCCAATTAAATCTTCCCGTTGGTTCCGATTTAATTAGAAAATTAGTAAACTAACAAAAAACTATTCTGAACTGGCTTGACTCAAGCCTTTTCATTCACATACCCTAGCATCGCAGCCCATTGGCATGCAGCCGAGTGATCTCGTCGATTAAAACAATATGCTTCTGTATCAATTCTACATCACCGTCGGGCAGAAAATAGAATTAATGCATAAAACTCATAAATTAACTTAAAATCCATATAACTACTCTTCAAAATTAAATTTTCCTGTTGGTTCGAATTTAATTGGAAGATAATCAACTTCATTTCAGCGAAAACTTGAAAATGAAATACATTCTTTTAGTTCAGGAAAATTTCTTGGTTTTTATCTACTCTCTGAAAAATTATCCACGTTGGTGTAAAATTTATCAAAGATTTAAATTTTAAACTTAAATTCATTATAATATTGTCATCATCAACATTGGTCAGAAAATGACAATACCATAATCTTATTTAAACTTCAACCTTAAATTCATTATAATATTATAATCATCAACGTTGGTCAGAAAATGACAATACCATAATCTTACTTAAACAAAAAATAGACCACTCCTCTAATTAAATTTTTCCGTTGGTTCCAATTTAATTAGAGGATAAGCATAATCATGATTTACTAAATATAACTGCTCTTCAAATTAAATTCTCCCATTGTTTCGAATTTAATTAGAAGATAAGCAACATTAAATTTTGCAGCGAAAACTTAAACATAATTGGTGAATTTTACCCATAGAAAAAATTCTCTTTGCTATTTTTCTTTGAGCCATTAATTATTTTCTAGAAAATAAACAATTTACTGGAAAAAGAAAAAGAAAAAACGGACTCATTTCTTCACTGTTGCTCGGCCCAGCATAAAAAACCGGCCCACGGCTCACGACCGCGCGCGCTCAGGCCGCAACATGGGCCTGGGCCAGGAAAGTGGCCCAGCGCTCGCGCCCGCATGGGCTGAAAGCTGGCCCGACCGCTCAGAGCCGTTCGATCAGATCGAACAGTCGCCCGTCTCTATCGCTAGCATAAAACCCCACCGCGCCCGCTCACGTGGAAACCCTAGGGTCATTTCCTTCTTTGCTTCCTCTCTCTTCTTTCCTCAGCGCCACGGTGGAGAGATGAGAGGCACAACAGAGTGGCGCCACCGCCGGTCCCCTCTCCGGTGAGCTTGCTCGCCCGAGGCTGGACGACGGTGCCCTTAACTCCGCGCGGCTCCACTCCCCGAACTCTAACTCACTCCTCTCTCCCATTCTCTCTCTGAGCGGCTCAACACCGAGCGAGTGAGCGCAGAGAGCCACCTGAGCGAGCCCATGGTGGAGGGATGATGGCGCCGTCGCTGGACCCCTCGCTGGCGCGTGCACTTCCTAGCGAGTGAGCGCGCCGTCGTCGAGCGGCCTAGCCGCGGCGCCCTAGCATGGCCGCAATTCACCGATGCGGAGGCCCTTCCCAAGGTGTTCTAGTGAGTGGAGGCCGGCGAGCTAAGCCTCCTCCCTAGCCCTTCCTCTTTCCCCTTGATCTTCTCTGTTCGGATCTTCTTACTTTTCTTCTCGGAGGTGGTCCGATTTAGGGTTAGGGTTCGGCTTACTGTTCATCTTCTCCAACGGGTTAGAGTTAGGGTTCGAGTACTTTTCAAACCGAGACCCCCTTCTTACTCCTTTTCTTCACCCGAATAGGGTTTAGGGTTCGATGAACCCTCTGCTTCCCTTTTCTTTTGATCTGAACCGGATCTATCTCATCTCCTTCTAAACTGCCCCTACTGGATCTACGCCTAGAGCAGCGGCTTTGATACCATTGATATATTCTTAGGATCATCTAGGTGCATATCAGAGGGTGTATTCGTCTCTATTTGATTCAAAACGATCTTGAACATGCTTCGGTTGAGGAAGAGAGAGAGAGAGAGAGAGGCCCATACCTTCGGGGTTGGTAGAGGAGGTAGAGGAGGAAGAATGGAGTGCAGCCCGGCAGAGTCCAGAGGATGGGGGCACGGCCGGCGGCGCTTCCCGTCACTTGTAGCGTGCCCGCGATCGGAGGGGCTTCTAGGGTTCTTCGGTAGGGTCCAGTGGCGGCGTCGAACCTCGTCTCACGTGCCATGGCCCCCACCTTTCTCTTTATTTATAGCGATGTATGATAGGGGCCCGCCGACTAGTGGTCGGTTAAGCGTCCCCGATCAGGACGTGGTCAAGGGGTCCGATTGGCCATTGGGCCAATCGGTGGAGATCAAACTAACACTGTCCACACCCTCAGTATCCGTAAATTTCCTAGCTAACAGAGCTCCTGCATGAAGTTAGGTATCTGACTCCATACTGTGATGTCTTGCAACCTCTGCAAGGCTTGCATGTTCCTGAATCCATCTGGCAAATGCACACCAAAACTAGAAAAATAGATTGACCAACCATGCAAGGCGAAGAATACTTGATGGAAGCTTCTTTATATGAGTAACTCTTAAATCCAGTGTTTGTAAATACTCAGCTCTCCAATTTCTTCAGGAAGCTCATTTATCCATGTTTGACGCAAGCTCAAGTACCTCAATGCAAATAAACCGCATAGGTGTGCCAGACGGTGGGGCTTGTAGTCCCTCACAGCCTTCTAAATCCAAAGCACGCAAATGCTTCGACTTCTGCAAAGATGGGAGGCTATGAAGACTGTCTGGAAACACTGAAACTGCACGGGCATGAGAATATGTATCAGATTCACCCGGATCGGGTTTTGGTAGAGTAGTCCCACTTCCTAGAATCGACACCTGGATCCAGGTTTTTGGTAGCAATGTCATCCTCGGACAAGAAGGTGTTGACTGTTGACCGCACGACAGCCTCCCGCACAGTCCGTGAGCGCGGATGGATGATGGCTGTGGCCTGTGGCACGGAGCCACGGACAATCGCCGCGCGGGGCAGAGGAGATGGGGGCCAAGTGCCAGGAAAGCCATGAAACCATCTTTAGACGCCGAGGTCAATCTAATTCAAAATACAAGTGTCGATTTTGCCGGATGAAATAATCTTGTGATTTTCTTTATTGGAATGGAAATCCTCGTCAATTTATTTGGCTGCTGCTATTGTTGTGGGTCTCTACTTATTAGGCGGCCCGTTCTTGATGATACGATGAATTTGACCGCCGCGTCCATGCGGTGCTCATCAAGGGAGCCCCGCATGCACCTGCCGAGGATCGTGACCAACATCCGTGCTCGTTGGACGTGCGTGGCAGCAGATGGCGTGATCGAGATGGTGGACTACAACAACTGCACGCAGCATTTTGTTGTGTTCATCGACACTTTATATATCTGGCATCAGAAACTTCATTCACAATACAGACACTCGTCAATGCTGGAATGACGGGGTGCATGCAGGGGCGAAACTAGTATTAAATTTATGGTGGTGCACAACGTTAACAGCAATGTAGAAATATGTCTTCTCTCAACTGATTTATATGGTTAAAATAAACTACTTAGTATTAAATATTTTTTCTTGCCTGGTGCTGGTGCACCATCCAAACTCAACATGACTTCGCCCCTGTGTGCATGCTTACACAAAATATATAAATCTGCCACTCTGGGCGTCATATCCGCTCCATGACAAATTACTATAAAAAATAATACTTACGTCGATAATCCTTCGGGTTGGCTGATAAAACATAAATTAAATAACAATAACATGAACCACATATAAACAACATTACCAATAAATTAGTTAATAATGCAGTGGAGTGCGAAACGCCTTGTCCGTCCTGGCGTTTCGTAGCTCGCATTTCTGCTTTGTTGTCCTTACCAACAGGGTAAATTAGTTATAATGTAGCTTGGGATGGTTGGGATGGGAGCTGACCGCTTTCTTAATGGCTTCCCGCGCGGGGTCGTCGGGATCAAAATATTTCCTGAAGAAACATCCTACGAGAGCAAGACAGGGTAGATGCTGGATGCCAAAATCAAACTCCATTGGTGAGAGACCCTGTTATGTCACTGTTGAATGAGAGAGACAACTCTTGTAGCTTTGGCATGGCTCCACCTTCGAACAATAACCCAAATGCACATGATTTTGAACCGACTAGGAACCTTCTCAAGGATGGGAATCCATGTGTGCCGCTGATCTTGATCCGTTGTGTTCCTTGGGAGGAGGACCATCTGTCAGCAACTTTGATCTTTACTGAGAGACAGAGGCTGGAAAGAGCGTTTAAACTCCCGAGCAAACCAAAGTCTGCCATCCCGAGTTGCTCAACAGAGATTCTCAAATCCTGAAGGTTATCAAGTGAACCGATCCATCTAGGGACCCTTGGGACAAAAATCCATTGGATTTTAAGTATCCTGAGGCCGAGGGGAGTGGGGCTCCAGGGCTCCATCAACAATTTCATGGGCACTTTCCAAGCGTTTATAGTCAAAGAATTTAGGCATCCTGTACCAAGTGTACACAGAGATGACACCAAATCTTCGCTAACCTCATCATCAAACCATATCTCTAGTATCCGTAGATTTCTTAACTGACGAAGCTCCTGTGCAAAGCTAGGTGACTGACAGCAGACACTGATGGACCCCACCAACTGCTGCAATGCTTGCATGTTCTTCCCAAATCCATCTGGCAGCTGCACATTGGGATCACATAATAGAGTGACCAACCGTGAAAGGCGGCCAACACTGGATGGCAGTTCTTTTATATGAGTACCCCTTATATCTAGTGTTTGTAAATATTGTAGCTCTCCATTTCTTCAGGAAGCTCATCTATCAATGTGTTACGAAAGCTCAAGTACCTAATGCAAATAACCTGCCTAGATGTGTCAGATGGTGGGCTTGTAGTCTCTTACAGTCTTCTAAATCCAAAACACGCAAATGCTTGAACTTCTGCAGAGAAGGGAGGCTATCAAGACTTCCAGGGAACACCACAACTGCACGGACATGATAATATATTATTTTCTCCCGTGAGCCAACTATGGCATCACTGACCTCATTCCTGTCCTATAGAGAGAGCCGTCGAATCTTCCTATGTGGATCAACTCTTATGTTAGGAAGGCCAAACAGAGTTACAAAATTCTCTTCCACAGCCTTGGACAGAATGAACTCAAGAATTATGTCATGGACCCGACAGCAAATCACATCAAAAAAACCTGAATCCACTGGCTGAATCAAGCTTCTGTTTATGAGCTCGTTGAAACACCTATCCCCAATCTCATATTGGGTGAACCCATGCTCTTCATGAACGAATCCCTCAGCAATCCATCTCAGTATCAATCGATCCTTTCCAATCTCATAATCTTCTGGGAATATACTTAGATACAGAAGACAACTTCTTAGGTGGGGAGGAAGGTCAAAATAACTCAGTGACAATATTTGTATCATTCTATTGACATCCGAGTGCCTTTCAAGTGTATGACCAAATGAACATTGAACTTTGTTCCATTCATCTACAGTTGGTGCTTTCCCTGCCAACAAGCCAGCTATTGCTATAATTGCCAAAGGCAAACCATCACATTTTTTCAAGATGTCATCACAAACTTCAGAGAGGTCTGATGGGCATCCCTCTTCTGAACCAAATATTCTCTTCAGGAACAACTTTCTTGAGTTCTCGGGATTAAGAGGACGTAATTCATATATGTGACCCCGACGTGAAGAGCAGCAAGATTTAGCTACTTCAGTTTTACGTGTGGTGGTGATTATTCTGCTGGCACAACTATTTTTTATAAGAGCAGGTTTTCCATGATTCGGAATCCCATAAATCATCCACAACAATGAGGTACCTGCCAAATTAGTTAGTTAAGTCTATTAGTAAGGACTAAAATAAAAAAAAATAATACAAATCAAATAATAGAAATGTGTTTTTTTAGTTGGACCAAATCTCAAATTCATAGCGTAAGGTGAATGTTTAGTTAAAACCTAGGTTTTCTTCCATTCAGGGACAAATACTAATAAAAATAAAATTATATACTTTCCATCAATGCTTTATTATTATATAGGAGACACTAATTTTTATCACTAATCTTATCTTAATGCTAGTAACTTGAGTTTCTTTTAAGACCTTCATGTTACGCCTCACAAAGTGTGCTACAAATAAATAAAAACTTGACCCTAGACATCCACAAGGTATTATAATAAAAAAAGAAGCTTCAACTACATGGCCTCAGAAAACCTTCAAACCCTAGGTTCGATACTAACCGAACTTGGACCGACCATGACATCCTGGTTAGTCACCACTACAACTATCCCCTAGTAGTAGGGCCAAAACCAGCCACATGCACCACAGGCTGGTGCCACATGCCACATGATAGAAAATTAGAAATAGATGGCATGCCCATACTTACTCCTAAGTCTAAAAATTAGTAGTTCTGGAGCTCTAAAAATATAAAACAAATTAAAAATATGCTTAATCATACAGTGAATGAAGGGTCTATCGGAGGAGCTGTTTTCTATCATACCTTTTATCTTGAAGGAAATCGGATATCTTTCTGATAAGATGTTGCATATCTCCGGTGTACTCCTGCCCGCTAATGTCAAGGAGAATAGTTCTCAACACTTCCAACATGTGAGGAGTTCGTGATACTGTTACAAAAGCCTTACAGTCAAATTTATCCTTAAGTGACTCATACACTTGATTCGCAAGTGTTGTCTTCCCTAGTACACCAAGTCCAACAATGGCGACCACCTTCACCTGATGCTGAGATAAAGATCCATCTTCTATCAACAAGTTGATCAACTCATTCTTTTGTTCATCAATGGCCACAAGCTCTGACGCATCCTTAAAGATAGCCTGAGCCCGAATATCAATCATCTCATGTGAATCCTTGGTGGTCGTCACACCAGTCCTATATCTGTGATTCCTGTCTCTCACCTCCCTGATCTGTGTCTTGAATTCCTGTATTGCCTTGGAGATCCGTTTATGTGCCTTCATCTTATCCAGCAACTTCGTACACTTCTTCATTAGGCTCTTCTTCTTAGCAGATTTGTCAGCATCAATACAAATCATAAAGTCATCGAGACTGTCCTCGATGTCATATGACATCTCCCTCACATCTGTCATCCATATCTTGTCTTGGTTGTTAGGATTCTCCTCCTCTGACATCTTCTCGAGGAAGGCATGCATGCAATTAAGTTCATCAGAGAGAGACTTGATCTCCTTGTGCACGTCTTTCATGTTCTTCAACTCATCACCAAGCAAAGTTGCCAGCTTCACAGTGATAGCCTTCAGTGCCCCCGTTGCTGCGCTCACCAGAAAACCTTCCATCTTTGATTTTGATTGCTCTATCCCTCCTGGCCCCTGGTGTGTTGAACAACAGCATGGTTGTCAGAATCGCACAATACTAATATGATCGAACCGAAGCCAAACGATACAGAATCACACTACTGATTGAGTTTTGGTAGAATCGCACATGGAATAGATCCTAGCTAGAATGATCAGAGTCTCGCACATGGAACAGATCGTGGCTGAGACTTGTTGACCTAAATCAAATATTAGAATTACAGACTTTTATGGGTCCTCAAAGTTAGTCACAGAACTCGATAATTAACTATAATAACGTATGGATAGTTTGAAAATTAAGATTATAATGTATTTACGAGTAAATATTTTTGTGCTTTACATAGGAGAAAAAATATATCAAAGGTCTATTTTAATTTGATACAGGCTTAATAGAACATTATCGTATTATTAGTGACATTAACTTTTGTCATGAATGTCATGATCATAATAAGTTATGGTTTTAAAATTTTATAAAAAGATAAAACATAAACAGATAAGTAACATTCACGTTCTCATTTCCTATGAATACTCGTATCTTATTTTCTCCAATTGCAATACACGAGCATATTTGTTATATTATAAAAGAGAAGTGATCCTTTGGTTTGTCTTTTTTCTTTTTACTTTCTATAAAGTGTCCCCTGCCCTTTGTGAACCGTATATATGTGACCTGAATTAACAATTCGTGCTTATATGTGTGTTAGAACAACTCGCGTTCAGCAACGATATGAAGTCCGATTCTAATAGGTATTGGCTTTCGTTGCAACGTACATACACGTTTGCTAGTACATATAAAGTTGGTTATATAATGTCTCCTATGATTAGAGCCTGCGTAAAAGCACGGCTTAACGCTTAACAGACTTGTTATGCACATGGTATATACTACATCGGATCGGTTTTTGATAGAATCATATCGAACTTGGATCGCAAAACAGATCCTAGCTACCAAATAAACGTCGATCAGAATCGCACCTGGATCGTGAGCTCGTAGGATCCTGAAAGAAACCTCGGCCACCGAAGGCGTTGACGACGTCCGCCTAGCAGTCAATGCTGCTGGGTCCAGGTGAGCGCAAGGGCAGGGGATGATGCAGGTCTGGGAGAGCACGGACGAGCGCAATGCTGCTGGTCGCCTGGGCTGCTGGCCGACCTCGGGCTGGTGGAGCGCTCGTGCCGGAGGGTGAGAACGTGTGCGCGTTGCTCTGCATCTGAGAGAGTGGGGAAAGGGAAAGGCAAAACGCGTTGACGCGGAGTCGTCGCCAAATCTTCTCGTTCTTGATTTTTTTTTTCCTTTTTTTGACGGGAGCGCGGCGGCCTGTAGCACCGAGAAACTTCGGGGTGAAGTGGGAACAGATGGGGGTGGGTGGAGTAGGTTAGTAGCATTTTTTTTTTTGCGCTCTTTTTTTTTTTGACAAAATTAAGGTCTTCTTGGACGAAGTGAGTGCCTGCACACGGCCGGGCCCAACGTTTATTCTGTGGAAACATGGCGTTGCTAGCCACTACTCACTCCGTTCGTAAAAAAAATCGTTTAGTAGAGTTCTAACTCCAGTCAAAAACAACTTTAACTATATCGTTTTTTCTGGCTCCAACTTCACTGTATAAAAAACGTTTACAAAACTTCTCCGAGTGGTTGAAACAGATGAAATATCTAATATACCCACCTTTTTTTTTCTTTTTTCTTCCTTCATTTTTTTCTCTTTATTTTTCTCCCCCCTCCCCTCTCTTCTCTCTGCACCCTATCCTAATTTCGCTCTTCCTCACGACACGAACCGCAAACACATCCTCTCTTCGGCCCTTCTTCACGCAGTCACATGCATCCTCTCTTCCTCGCTGTCGCCGTCGCCCGTCCTCCGGCCCACCCCAACGGCTCAGCCCCGACCCATCCCTTGATGGCGGCGCCCGTCTGCGGCCGGCCCGTGCCACCCCTCCCCTCGCGCACCCTCCATGCCCCTCCCAAGACATGCCACCTACCTCCCTCCCCCACCGTCGCCACCACCGGTGGCCCCTCGCCATCCGCGCCGCATGGAGCCTGTGCAAGCTGCGAGAGAGCCGTAGCGTGGGAGGAGAAGGGCACCATGTGGGCCAGCGGCTTCGGCATCCATCAAGCGAAGGAGCTGGTTGAAGCTGTATTTTTCAGCTCCACCACCTCGCGGGCCTCTTCAGCGCGATTTCAGGGGATTCCTCGGTGAACCTCTTTTGTGCTGCCCGTTTGGTAGATGGAGTCAAAAAAATTGCTTTGGGAGCGGCTGTAGAAGCGCTACCAAATGGCCCCTAAGCATCAATTCTAGCTTGTTAAGTTTGTCTTAAACTAAAAACATCTTCAGGAGTTTTGTAAAATAGCTCTCTATTTTAATATTTTAGCGAAACGAGAAAAAGTGTCATCTAACAGTTTGGTAAAAGAGCTTCTTATTAAAACTAAAAAATTGTGAAGTATTCTCTCCAACTCGTAAGTTTCCGCAGTCGAGGGAAACTCCGTATCCTCCACCCTTCGGTGTTTTCCTCGAGAGATTGGAGTAAATTGGATGCACGACTAAATTTAGAAAATAAATGATTTTATATGTATTAAATAAAAAATGGTTTGGACCGACCAGCGTCTCCGGGCCGCTCGTCCTGGCCCGTTTTTGTGCTGCGCGCGGAAAAGGCGCTGCCATGGCCTCGCAACTGCGGGGAAACCCGACGGGCGCAACGCAGCAAAGAAGATGCTGCCCCCGGGCGCGCGACACCTCACTCTGGAGACATCGCCCTCTTCTGCTTATTGCATACCATCATCACGTCTAGTACGCTCGTCCTCGATCGTTCGTCTGGTGCTTCATCGTCTATCGTCGTGTCGCGCCTCATGCATGCCGTGCGGTGACAAGCAGCAGGTCATGACAGCTGCTACGGTATGGGCAAGTGGCAATGGCATGCCACGCTGACGGTGGACTCATTCACCGTCGTCGCCGGCCAGGGATATTTTTTTTAATTTTAACACTTTTTTTAAACTAATTCTAAATCTAACATTGTTTATTTTTTATTTCTAAATTTAACACTTTTGGCCGTGTCTATTGCCATGGCGCGGCAAAATGCCTGTGACGCGTCATGCATGGTGGTACGGTCAAAAGTGTTAGATTTGAAAATAAAAAACAAACAATGTTAGATTTAGAATTAGTTTAAAAAAAATGTTAAAATTAAAAAAATATTCCCGGCCAGCGTCAATTTATCTTTCGAAACTCAGCAGCCAGAAAGACAACATGGAAGTTGGAAGGCAACCACCACTTTTAACTCATCCTAGATATGGTAGGGGACGGAGAAAGCGCAGGCAATTAGGCCGGACCCAAAGACGACTCTGTCGAGCAGTTGAGGGAGAACCACGCCGCTAGCTTTTCCCATTTCAGGGTCCATCATCGTCTTTTGGGACTTGGGAGACGACATCCAGCGAGTCAAGCAGTGCCAAACGCTCCTCCCGATGGATATCATCGTTCTCGGCATTGACATCAACCGATCGATTCCTTGGAGTAGCGAGGTCAAGCGGGAACAGATGGGAGGGGGGGAGTAGCAGGGTTTTTTTTTGGACAAAATTGAAGACCTACCACTGCGGTCATTTTGGACGAAGTGAGTGCCTGCACGGTCGGCCCAAATGTTTATTCTCCGGAGAACGAGGCGTTGCTAGCAACTACTCACTCCGTTCTTTAGCTTCGGTCAACATAACTTAAACTATATCTTCTATGAGGAAACAGTTTTTTTCTGGCTCCAACTTCACTATTTAAAAAATGTTTACAAAACAACTTCTCTGGGTGGTTAAAACAGAGGAAATGTCAAAAATACCCTTTTTTCTTTTTTTCTTCCTTCGTCTTTTTCTCCCCTCCCTGTTTTGTCTCCACCCTATCCTAATTCCCGTCGAACTCACGACACGAACCGCACACGCGCCCTCTCTTTGGCTCTTCTTCACGCACACACACGCATCCTCTCTTCCTTGCCGCCGCCATCCTCCGGCCCACCCCAACAGCTCCTCCGCGGCCCGGCTCTTGATGGCGGAGCCCGTCCGGCGTCCGCAGCCCGCCCGTGCTGCCCCTCCCCTCCATGCCCCTCCCGAGACGCACCCGGCCTCCCTCCCACCACCGCCGCCGCCGTCGGCGACAGCCCTCGCCATCCGTGCCGCATGGAGCTTGAGCAAGCTGCGAGAGAGTCGTAGCGCGGGAGGAGAAGGGCACCATGTGGGCCAGTGGCTTCGTCATCCATCAAGCGAAGGAGCCGGTAGAAGTTATATTTTTTTGAACTGTCAACGGTGGAGAAATCCTCACCTGAATATATATTGATATGAAATCAACAGCCTCATTTTTTGGGAAAACGAAGCAAAACCCTGTCGTCCGATTAATTTTGAAAAATCGGACTAAAACCATATAACAACCCTAGCATAGAGGCGAGGTTGTGGCATATCCACGAGTAAGAAAAACAACAGCAGCAGCGGCAGCAAGCAATGAGCCTACACAAGTTTATCTTTGTTCTATGGATAATGATGTGTACATTAATGGGTATCTGTTAGAATTCTATAGCAATATTGATGTTTGTGCTTTGTCATCAGTATTCAGATCTGGCTCTGACATTAGGGGTGCACTTGGTCTAAAAAAGTGTTTCTGCAATTTGAGTACCCAATGTGTATGTGCCTGGCTGTTGGTGTTGTAACCTAGGACTGTCCGAGGCAGACCAAATGAAGAGCTTGTTTGGTTGGGTACAGGTTCCAAAACCAGCTTAGCAAAAACCATGGCATGCTAAAATCATGGCTAGCCAAAATTAGGGCTGACCAAAATGAGGGCAAAAAATCGAGGCAAAAAAGTCAAGGCATATATTTTTCCCTCTTGAGCTTTAAAAAGTTTTAGAAACTTACCGTGTGTTTTTTTGGTACTAAAACAATTGATAGCCAAATTTCTAGGTATGCTCTGATTTTGGCGCAATTTTAGGTGAGCAAATTTTGGAACCCAACCAGGCAGCCCAAAATGTGTAGGAAGTTTTCGCCGTTGTATAATTGAATTGTGGACACCAATTGATAGCCAAAAATTCTAGGTATGCTCTGTTTGGCTTGGTAAATTTTGGAACCCAACCAAGCAGCCCAAAATGTGTAGGAAGTTTTTGACACTGTATAATTGAATTGTGGACATTCACCTTTGACTTGGTCCAGACATATCAGTTAAACACAAATTTGCTTGTCTTTTTTAGATGCACGTACACCAAACCATTCACATGGAAATTTCTTATTACACTGAACATTCTGATCAGAGGAGCACGTCCGTAATCCAACACCAGAAGGATGGAGATCAGGCTTTGCGCTAGATCTAAACACAGAATGTACACTTTGAAGAACAACCATAGAACTCATAATAGTAGAACAGATCAATCTTATTATGTGAAGATCATAGTCCTAGCTGAAGAATCTGTATAGAATCAAATGTTCTCATTTAGCAGACTTTGTACCATAGCTAGGATTTCCAAAAGAAGATGGCATTGATTTCATGGCAAATAAAAGGAATACGGCAAGAATTCAGTTTGGCTGAAGCATATAAAACATAAAGTAACAATAATATAAAACATATAAAATCAGCATAAGTAAGTTCTATGAAGTGTAATACAAACAAATAAATTAGAATGCGGTGGAGAGGAAAAAGTCTTTTGTCCAAGATGGTTGTTGGTGCTTGTAGCTAGTAATTCTGCTCTGTTGTCACTACAACCCATGATACAATCTGGGATGGTTAGGATTGGAACTGACTGCATTCTTAACAGCATCCCATGCGCGGTGCTCGGGCTCATAGTTTGCATTTATAAAGTAACCAAGGTCACATCTTACGATAGCAAGACAAGGGAGATGCTGGATGCCGAAATCAAATTCTCCATTGGTGAGAGACCCGGTTTTATCTCTGCTGAACTCGAGATTGAGCTCTTGTAGCTTCGGCATGGCCCCAGCTTCGAACAACCACCCAAACCCACAGTTAATCGAACCAACTCGGAACAATCTCAAGCTAGGAAATCCATGTGCGCCACTGATCTTAACCCGTTGTGCTTCTTGAGAAGAGGATAATCTGTCGGCTACTTCAATCATTACCCAGAGACAGAGGCTCGACAGAGCGCTTAAGCGCCCGAGCAAACCAACATCTACAGGCCCAAGTTGGTCAACATTGAGCCCCAAATGCTGCAGGTTATCAAGTGAGCCGATCCATATAGGGATCCTCGGGAGCTGAATACCCAATATTTCAAGTCGTTTGAGGCTGATGGAGGTGGGGTTCCATGGCTCCATCACAAAGTTCATGGACTCTTCGTTGGTTCCTGCAGTCAAAGAATTTAGGCTTCCTGTACCAAGTATACACAGAGATGAGGCCAAATCTTTGGTAAACACATCTGTCCACACCCTCAGTATCCATAAATTTCTTAGCTGACAGAGCTCCTGCATGAAGTTAGGTATCTAACTCCATACTGTGATGTCTTGCAACCTCTGCAAGGCTTGCATGTTCCTGAATCCATCTGGCAAATGCTCACCAAAACTAGAAAAATAGATTGACCAACCATGCAAGGCGAAGAATACTTGATGGAAGCTTCTTTATATGAGTAACTCTTAAATCCAGTGTTTGTAAATACTCAGCTCTCCAATTTCTTTAGGAAGCTTATTTATCCATGTTTGACGCAAGCTCAAGTACCTCAGTGCAAATAAACCGCATAGGTGTGCCAGACGGTGGGGCTTGTAGTCCCTCACAGCCAGTGGTGGATCTAGGATGAAAATCTAGGGGGGGCTTAAGTTCACATGGGACAAAGGCATCAAGCTCAGCTCAATGCTCCAGCATCGTCTTCAATCTTAGCTCAACGCTCAAGCTCCTCCTTTCCCTCCTCCAATGGCAGAAAAATTTAGGGGGGTGGGGGGGCTGAGGGGGGCTCCACAGGGTCAGCCACGGTAGGGGGGGCTCGAGCCCCCCTGGCCAATGAAAAAATTAGCGCGCTGGGCGGCGGCGGCGGCGTCACGGGCGGGAGGCTGGGCGACGGCGGCGGCGTCACAGGCGGGAGGCTGGGCGATGGCGGCGGCTTGTCGACGGCGCAGGCTGAGCTGGGCGACTGCGGCAACACGGGCGGGAGGTTGGGCGACGGCGGCGGCCAGGGGGAGGTACCTCACTTGAGGCCGCCAACGAGCTCCTGCAGTTGCTGGAACGGGCTGCAGGAGTTCAGGACTTAATAGTTACTACCTATGTTATGAGTTGATGCCTTTATGGCTGTTTGTGTGTATGAAAACTCATGGGATTATGTTGGTTGTTATCTGATATCCAGAATATCATGTTTCTTGTGTTTGTAAAAACATAGCACGCTATAGCGTGTAAATAGCGCCGCTATAGCGTGTGAAGGCAGCCGGCGCTACTGCATTTAGCTGCCGCTATAGCGGAGCCATAGCGGCGCTATAGCGCCCGCAATAGCGTCAATAGCGCCCAGAACAGCTTCACGCTAAATTTGATAGCCCGCGATTTTTTTCTTTGCCCCTGGCAGATCCGCCGCTGCTCACAGCCTTCTAAATCCAAAGCACGCAAATGCTTCAACTTCTGCAAAGATGGGAGGGCTATTAAGACTGTCTGGAAACACTGAAACTGCACGTGCATGAGAATATATATCAGATTCACCCGGATCGGTTTTTGGTAGCAATGTCATCCTCGGACAAGAAGGTGTTGACTGTTGAGGAGGGTGCACGGTGCACAGCACGACAGCCTCCTGCACAGTCCGTGAGCGCGGATGGATGATGGCTATGGCCTGTGGCACGGAGCCACGGACAATCGCCGCGCGGGGCAGAGGAGATGGGGGCCAAGTGCCAGGAAAGCCATGAAATCATCGTTAGACGCCGAGGTCAATCTAATTCAAAATGCAAGTGTCGATTTTGCCGGATGAAATAATCTTGTGCTTTCTTTATTGGAATGCAAATCCTTGTCAATTTATTTGGCTGCCGCTATTGTTGTGGGTCTCTACTTATTAGGCGGCCCGTTCTCGATGATACCATGAATTTGACCGCCGCGTTCGTCCGGTGCTCATCAAGGGAGCCCCGCATGCACCTGCCGAGGATCGTGACCAACATCCGTGCTCGTTGGACGTGCGTGTCAGCAGACGGCGTGATCGAGATGGTGGACTACAACAAGTGCACGCAGCATTTTGTTGTGTTCATCGACACTTTATATATCTGGCATCAGAAACTTCATTCACAACACGTACACTCGTCAATGCTGGACGGACGGGGTGCATGCTTACACAAAATATATAAATCTGCCACTCTGGACGTCATATCCGCTCCGTGACAAATTACTATAAAAAATAATACTTACGTCGACAATCATTCGGGTTGGCTGATAAAACATAAATTAAATAACAATAACATGAACCACATATAAAACAACATTACCAATAAATTAGTTATTAATGCAGTGGAGTGCAAAAGGCCTTGTCCGTGATGGTCGCTGGTCTTGGCGTTCGTAGCACGCATTTCTGCTTTGTTGTACTTACCACCAGGGTAAATTAGTTATGATGTAGCTTGGGATGGTTGGGATGGGAGCTGGCCGCTTTCTCCAGGGCTTCCCACGCAGGGTCGTCGGGATCATGATATTTAGTCAAGTAATCACGTTCTACGAGAGCAAGACAGGGTAGATGCTGGATGCCAAAATCAAACTCTCCATTGGTGAGAGACCCTGTTAGGTCACTGTTGAATGAGAGAGACAGCTCTTGTAGCTTTGGCATGGCTCCACCTTCGAACAACAACCCAAATGCACAGGAGTTTGAACCGACTCCGAACCTTCTCAAGGATGGGAATCCATGTGTGCCGCTGATCTTGACCCGTTGTGTTCCTTGAGAGGAGGACCATCTGTCAGCAACTTTGATCTCTACTGAGAGATAGAGGCTGGAAAGAGCGTTTAAACTCCCCAGCAAACCAAAGTCTGCCATCCCGAGTTGCTCAACACAGAGAGTAAAAACCTGGAGGTTATCAAGTGAACCAGTCCATCTAGGGACCCTTGGGACCACAATCTGACAAATTTGAAGTATCTTGAGGCCATGCAGGGTGGGGCTCCATGGCTCCATCACCAATTTCATATGCTTTTTGTGGAAGCCTATAACCAAAGAATTTAGGCATCCCGTACCAAGTGTACACAGAGATGACACCACCAAATCTTCGCTCACCTCATCATCAAACCATATCTCTAGTATCCGTAGATTTCTTAAGTGACGAAGCTCCTGTGCAAAGTAAGGTGAGCTAGTAGACTCATAGGGGGGACCGATTTCCCCCACCAACTGCTGCAATGCTTGCATGTTCTTCCCAAATCCATCTGGCAGCCGCACATAAGAATCACATAATAGAGTGACCAACCGTGAAAGGCGGCCAACACTGGATGGCAGCTCTTTTATAGAATTACGCCTTATATCTAGTGTTTGTAAATATTGTAGCTCTCCAGTTTCTTCAGGAAGCTCATCTATCCCTGTGTCACGTAGGCTCAAGTACCTCAGAGCAAACAATCCACCCAGATGTACCAGATGGTGAGCTTGTAGTCCATCAGTCTTCTAAATCCAAAACACGCAAATGCTTGAACTTCTGCAGAGAAGGGAGGCTATCAAGACTTCTAGGGAACACCACAACTGAACGGACATGATAATATATTATTTTCTCCCGTGAGTCTACTATGGCATCACTGACCTCATTCCTGTCCTGTAGAGAGAGCCGTCGAATCTTCCTATGTGGATCAACTCTTATGTTAGGAAGGCCAAACAGAGTTACAAAATTCTCTTCCACAGCCTTGGACAGAATGAACTCAAGAATTATGTCATGGACCCGACACCAAGTCACATCAAAAGAACCTGAATCCACTGGCTGAATCAAGCTTCTGTTTATGAGCTCGTTGAAACACCTATCCCCAATCTCATATTGGGTGGACCCATGCTCTTCATGAACGAATCCCTCAGCAATCCATCTCAGTATCAATCGATCCTTTCTAATCTCATAATCTTCTGGGAATATACTTAGATACAGAAGACAACTTCTTAGGTGGGGAGGAAGGTCAAAATAACTCAGTGACAATATTTGTATCATTCTATTGACATCCGAGTGCCTTTCAAGTGCATGACCAAATGAACATTGAACTTTGTTCCATTCATCTACAGTTGGTGCTTTCCCTGCCAACAAGCCAGCTATTGCTATAATTGCCAAAGGCAAACCATCACATTTTTTCAAGATGTCATCACAAACTTTAGAGAGGTCTGATGGGCATCCCTCTTCTGAACCAAATATTCTCTTCAGGAACAACTTTCTCGAGTTCTCGGGATTAAGAGGACGTAATTTATATATGTGACCCCGACGTAAAGTGCAGCAAGATTGAGCTACTTCAATTTTACGTGTGGTTGTGATGATTCTGCTGGCACAACTATTTTTTATAAAAGCATTTTGAATGGCTTCCCATGATTCCGAATCCCATAAATCATCCACAACAATGAGGTACCTGCCAAATTAGTTAGTGAAGTCTATTAGTAAGGACTAAAATAAGAAAAAATAATACAAATCAAATAATAGAAATGTGTTTTTTTGAGTTGGACCAAATCTCAAATTCATAGCGTAAGGTGAATGTTTAGTTAAAACCTAGGTTTTCTTCCATTCAGGGACAAATACTAATAAAAATAAAATTATATACTTTCCATCAATGCTTTATTATTATATAGGAGACACTAATTTTTATTACTAATCTTATCTTAATGCTAGTAACTTGAGTTTCTTTTAAGACCTTCATGTTACGCCTCACAAAGTGTGCTACAAATAAATAAAAACTTGACCCTAGACATCCACAAGGTATTATAATAAAAAAGAAGCTTCAACTACATGGCCTCAGAAAACCTTCAAACCCTAGGTTCGATACTAACCTAACTTGGACCGACCATGACATCCTGGTTAGTCACCACTACAACTATCCCCTAGTAGTAGGGCCAAAACCAACCACATGCACCACAGGCTGGTGCCACATGCCACATGCCACATGATAGAAAATTAGAAATAGATGGCATGCCCATACTTACTCCTAAGTCTAAAAATACGTAGTTCTGGAGCTCTAAAAATATAAAACAAATTAAAAATATGATTAATCATATAGTGAACGAAGGGTCTATTGGAGGAGCTGTTTTCTATCATACCTTTTATCTTGAAGGAAATCGGATATCTTTCTGATAAGATGCTGCATATCTCCGGTGTACTCCAGCTTGCTAATGTCACGGAGAATAGTTCTCAGCACTTCCATCATGTGAGGAGTTCGTGATACTGTCACAAAAGCCTTACAGTCAAATTTATGCTTAACTGACTCATACACTTGATTGGCAAGTGTTGTCTTCCCTAGTCCACCAAGTCCAACAATGGCGACCACCTTCACCTGATGCTGAGATAAAGATCCATCTTCTATCAACAAGTTGATCAACTCATTCTTTTGTTCATCAATGGCCACAAGCTCTGACGCATCCTTAAAGATAGCCTGAGCCCGAATATCAATCATCTCATGTGAATCCTTGGTGGTCGTCACACCAGTCCTATATCTGTGATTCTTATCTCCCACCTCCTTGATCTGTGTCTTGAAATCTTGTATTGCCTTGGAGATCCGTTTATGTGCCTTCATCTTATCCAGCAACTTCGTACACTTCTTCATTAGGCTCTTCTTCTTAGCAGATTTGTCATCATCAATACAAATCATAAAGTCATTGAGACTGTCCTCGATGTCGTATGACATCTCCCGCACATCTGTCATCCAAATCTTGTCTTGTTTGTCAGGATTCTCCTCCTCTGACATCTTCTCGAGGAAGGCATGCATGTAGTTAAGCTCATCAGAGAGAGGCTTGATCTCCTTTCGCACATCTTTCATGTTCTTGAACTCATCACCAAGCAAAGTTGCTAGCTTCACAGTGACAGCCTTGAGTGCCCCTGTTGCTGCACTCACCAAAACGCTTTCCATTTTTTTGGGTACTCAGTTACCCACTCCCTTGTTCAGTTCTTCCTGTTGTTTGTGAGCAGCAAAAGGTTGTCAGGACTCAGGAACAAAGTTTGTGTCATAGAATTGTACGATTGTACTGAAACTGAATGACGGAGTGCACTGCTGATATAGTTCTTACAAAATCGTACCTTGATGTGGATGGTGATTTTTGTTGGATCCTGGAACCTTGGACACAGAAGGAGCTGACGAGCGTGCACGAGGCCTCCCAGCAGTCGACGAGGCGGATGGATGGATCGAGCTCGGACAAGCACTGGCAATCACGGCAGGGTGTGGGTGGGAGAGCGTGAGCGCAAGGACGAAGGGACGAACACGGGCACGGAGGAGCGCAGCAGTGCTCTGAACAGGCAAATGGGCTGTTGTGTATAGCGCGTGGGAAGGGGGAGACCGGGAGTCAAGGCAAAAATGTATGTTTTCTTATTATTAATTCATCTAGATCTGGGGGAGACCGGGAGTCATGGCAAAAATGTATGTTTTCTTATTATTAATTCATCTAGATCTGTGCTCAGGTTTCTTTACCCGAGCTGTCCCATTTACCAAGTTATTCCTTCTGTTCCCATAGGATAGTGGACTAGTGGTTGCCAATGCCTTGATTCTTTTTTTGATGAAACCCAATGCCTTCATCTAGATCTGTGCGTTTGTTAGTTTTTCTTAATTATAGGGGAAAATAAAAAAAGATAATGCCATCCATGCTATCAGAGTGTTAGAAAGGGCGGCCACTTGATATGATAGGTAAAAAATATCCTGAAATCTTGTCCCTTGCTAAATGCGCCGGTGCACCTAGACGTACTACTTAGCGCGTGATTGGTTTGTTGGCGAGCACAACCTGGCTCGCACGCCGCATGCAGGCTCGCGCTGGCCAAGCACGCTAGGTGATAGATGTATGTGATTGGTTGGCATGTATGTAATGTAAGTATCTGGGCCAGCACTATTGATCCTGTTCGGTTGCCTGTACACTCCACACAAAAGAACTTTTCTGTGTCTGCACACTCCCCATGCGCTCACTCACAAGCTCGCGCCGCCCTGGCTCTGGAGAAATAGAATTTTCTCTGGAGCCTGGCTTCGTTGTCCCCGATTGCTTGTAGCGGGCCTGGCCTCGTTCTCAGTGTAGGCAACCAATCGTTGGTACGGTGCATCTGCTGAGCCTGGCTGAAGTCCGATTCTAATAGGTATTGGCTTTCGTTGCAACGTACGTACACGTTTGCTACTACATATAAAGTTGGTTATATAATGTCTCCTATGATTAGAGCCTGCGTAAAAGCATGGCTTAACACTTAACAGACTTGTTATGCACATGGTATATACTACATCGGATCGGTTTTTGGTAGAATCATATCGAACTTGGATCGAAAAACAGATCCTAGCTACCAAATAAACGTCGATCAGAATCGCACCTGGATCGTGAGCTCGTAGGATCCTGAAAGAAACCTCGGCCACCGAAGGCGTTGACGACGTCCGCCTAGCAGCCAATGAAGGAACAAGGGCTGCCGACCTCTTGGCCCACGAAGCGTTGTTGGGCCGCCTGGGCCGCGTGCCGGATGGTGCCAAGAGTTCGGCGTGACTCCCCACAGTGCTGAGGTTGGGCCTGTGGCGTTGGCTGACACGACACCGACGTACTGGGCCCCATGCGCCACCGTGTCGCCGTCGACCGGGGTCGTCCGTGACGTGGCAAGACCTCGGCGTCGTGTCAGTCGACGCCGACCCTCATACCTTGGCGTCATGTTCTAAGACGCCTAAAAATGATCTATTTTCAGCAAACGTTTTGGCATAGGTCTTTTTGTAAAAAATATTTTCAAAAGAGACCAAAATGCAAAAATTTCACGCTCTTCTTATTCCTCGTGGATCTTAGAACTGTGCACATTTTTTTATAACCAAGCTGTTCCGTTTGACTACAGGGTAGCCATTGCCTTGTCAATTCATCTAGATCTGTGAGTTTCTTTAACCGGGCGGACATTAAATTCAATGCCAACCATGTGATTAGAGCATCTCCGGCCAGCGCATCACATGTGCTGTGTGAAGATTGTTATCTGAAAACAGATACGTTGTCAAATATTTTAGCAGTGAGAGAGCCTATTTGCTCTATGATGCTCTGACAACGACAGGGTGTTCCAACATGCAAATGTTGATTTAAAATTGAAGGCCTACATTTTGGTCCCGAATGTCAACTCCAAAAGATTCTGTACAGAGCATGCCAGCTCTATGTCATCACAAACTTCAGAGAGGTCTGATGGGCATCCCTCTTCTGAACCAAATATTCTCTTTAGGAACAACTTTTTTGAGTTCTCTGGATTAAGAGGACATAATTGATATATGTGACCCCGACGTAAAGTGCAGCAAGATTGAGCTACTTCAATTTTACGTGTGGTTATGATGATTCTGCTGGCACAACTATTTTTTATAAAACCATTTTGAATGGCTTCCCACGATTCCGAATCCCATAAATCATCCACAACAATGAGGTACCTGCCAAATTAGTAAGTGAAGTCTATTAGTAAGGACTAAAATAAAAAAAAATACAAATCAAATAATAGAAATGTGTTTTTTTGAGTTGGACCAAATCTCAAATTCATAGCATAAGGTGAATGTTTAGTTAAAACCTAGGTTTTCTTCCATTCAGGGACAAATACTAATAAAAATAAAATTATATACTTTCCATCAATGCTTTATTATTATATAGGAGACACTAATTTTTATTACTAATCTTATCTCAATGCTAGTAACTTGAGTTTCTTTTAAGACCTTCATGTTACGCCTCACAAAGTGTGCTACAAATAAATAAAAACTTGAGCCTAGACATCCACAAGGTATTATTATAAAAAAGAAGCTTCAACTACATGGCCTCATAAAACCTTCAAACCCTAGGTTCGATACTAACCTAACTTGGACCGACCATGACATCATGGTTAGTCACCACTACAACTATCCCCTAGTAGTAGGGCCAAAACCAACCACATGCACCACTGGCTGGTGCCACATGCCACATGCCACATGATAGAAAATTAGAAATAGATGGCATGCCCATACTTACTCCTAAGTCTAAAAATACATAGTTCTGGAGCTCTAAAAATATAAAACAAATTAAAAATATGCTTAATCATATAGTAAACGAAGGGTCTATCAGAGGAGCTGTTTTCTAGCATACCTTTTATCTTGAAGGAAATCGGATATCTTTCTCATAAGATGCTGCATATCTCCGGTGTACTCCTGCCCGCTAATGTCAAGGAGAATAGTTCTCAACACTTCCAACATGTGAGGAGTTCGTGATACTGTTACAAAAGCCTTACAGTCAAATTTATCCTTAAGTGACTCATACACTTGATTCGCAAGTGTTGTCTTCCCTAGTCCACCAAGTCCAACAATGGCGACCACCTTCACCTGATGCTGAGATAAAGATCCATCTTCTATCAACAAGTTGATCAACTCATTCTTTTGTTCATCAATGGCCACAAGCTCTGACGCATCCTTAAAGATAGCCTGAGCCCGAATATCAATCATCTCATGTGAATCCTTGGTGGTCGTCACACCAGTCCTATATCTGTGATTCCTATCTCCCACCTCCTTGATCTGTGTCTTAAATTCCTGTATCGCCTTGGAGATCCGTTTATGTGCCTTCATCTTATCCAGCAACTTTGTACACTTCTTCATTAGGCTCTTCTTCTTAGCAGATTTGTCATCATCAATACAAATCATAAAGTCATCGAGACTATCCTCGATGTCGTATGACATCTCCCTCACATCTGTCATCCATATCTTGTCTTGGTTATCAGGATTCTCCTCCTCTGACATCTTCTCGAGGAAGGCATGCATGTAGTTAAGCTCATCAAAGAGAGGCTTGATCTCCTTTCGCACATCTTTCATGTTCTTGAACTCATCACCAAGCAAAGTTGCTAGCTTCACAGTGACAGCCTTGAGTGCCCCTGTTGCTGCGCCCACCAGAAAACCTTCCATCTTTGATTTTGATCGCTCTATCCCTCCCGGCCCCTGGTGTGTTGAACAACAGCATGGTTGTCAGAATCGCACAATACTAATATGATCGAACCGAAGCCGAACGATACAGAATCACACTACTGATTGAGTTTTGGTAGAATCGCACATGGAATAGATCCTAGCTAGAATGATCAGAGTCGCACATGGAACAGATCGTGGCTGAGACTTGTTGACCTAAATCAAATATTAGAATTACAGACTTTTATGGGTCCTCAAAGTTTGTCACAGAACTCCATAATTAACTATAATAACGTATGGATAGTTTGAAAATTAAGATTATAATGTATTTACGAGTAAATGTTTTTGTGCTTTACATAGGAGAAAAAATATATCAAAGGTCTATTTTAATTTGATACAGGCTTAATAGAACATTATCGTATTATTAGTGACATTAACTTTTTGTCATGAATGCCATGATCATAATAAGTTATGGTTTTAAAATTTTATAAAAAGATAAAACATAAAGAGATAAGTAACATTCATGTTCTCATTTCCTATGAATACTTGTATCTTATTTTCTCCAGTTACAATACACGAGCATATTTATTATATTATAAAAGAGAAGTGATCCTTTGGTTTGTCTTTTTTCTTTTTACTTTCTATAAAGTGTCCCCTGCCCTTTGTGAACCGTATATATGTGACCTGAACTAACAATTCGTGCTTATATGTGTGTTAGAACAACTCGCGTTCAGCAACGATACGAAGTCCGATTCTAATAGGTATTGGCCTAAGTTGCAACGTACATACACGTTTGCTAGTACATATAAAGTTGGTTATATAATGTCTCCTATGATTAGAGCCTGCGTAAAAGCATGGCTTAACACTTAACAGACTTGTTATGCACATGGTATATACTACATCGGATCGGTTTTTGATAGAATCACATCGAACTTGGATCGCAAAACAGATCCTAGCTACCAAATAAACGTCGATCAGAATCGCACCTGGATTGTGAGCTCGTAGGATCCTGAAAGAAACCTCGGGCACCGAAGGCGTTGACGACGTCCGCCTAGGAGTCAATGAAGGAACAAGCGCTGCCGACCTCTCAGCGGACAGGGCAGCAGGGGATGATGATATGGGCGAACGAGGGAGCGCAAGGACGGACGGGCGGCTGGTTCCAGGTGAGCGCAAGGGCAGTGGATGATGCAGGGCTCCCGCACATTTGCCATCCAAATCTTGTCTTGGTTGTCTGGATTCTCCTCCTCCGACATCTTCTCGAGGAAGGCGTGCATGTACTTAAGCTCATCAGCGAGAGACTTGATCTCCTTGCGCACGTCTTTTATGTTCTTGAACTCATCACCAAGCAAAGTTGCCAGCTTCAAAGTGACAGCCTTCAGTGCCCCGGTTGCTGCGCTCACCAAAAACCCTTCCATTCCTTCATTGCTCTCTCCCTCACAGTCTCCTCCCTGGTGTTTGGAACAACACGGCAGTTAGAATCGCACGATATTACATGATCAAACTGAAGCCGAACGACACAGAATAATCGCAGTTCTCGTCGGGTTTTGGTAGAATCGCACATGGAACAGATCCCTAGCTAGAGTGGTCAAAGTCGCACTCGCACCTGGATCGCGGTTTCGTAGGATGCTGAGATCTCGGACCCCGAAGGCGTTGACGAACGTGCACGATGGCCTCCCGCAGTCGGTGCGGGCGGATGGATGGCTGTGGCACGGACGACTTCGCCAAGCGCCGCGCGGAGCAGGGGAGATGGACGGGCAAGTGCGACTGTGGGAGCCGGATGTGCGTCTGAGGGAGGGGAAAGGCAAACGCGTGTTTGACGCGGCGTCATCTGCGAGTCTTCTTGACTCCATCGCGGAGAGGGGTGTTTCCAAAGAGCCGTGTCAGGAGCTGTACTGGGAGATTTGGTGCCGCCGGCGGAAGGGGACAACCGACAAGGCCAGCAGCGATGGCATCGAGGCCTGTTGCTTCGACAAGCGATGGCATCGAGGCCTGCTGGCTGCTGCTTCTCCCGGCTCCAGCTCCTGTAGCCCCAAATATGGCTCTGTCTTTAGGGATGCGTATGAAATCGGATCTGAATAGCACCTTTCAAGATATTTTAATTTGAATTGGAATAGGGATGCAAATACTTTTGAATATGAATACAAAACAATTGTATCGGTTTCAGATTTTTATTCGTATATTTACCCAAATTCAACTCAAAATGCATATTACTAAATTTAACACACATAAATAGAATTTTACTAGTAAGTTCATTGACAAACAAAGTGAAATAAAACCAAATTACACTTCTACTAATCTCCAATTTCAAAGTAAACTAAATTAATAGATAACATCTAATAAAATAATAGGTCAAGTGATGAAACTCAAATAAGAATGGTAGACAACAGGTGGTCATTTTGCTTTTTAATATTTTTGTAATTACAAACTTATTATACAAGTATACATTAAACTATGTGCGTATATAACATAGCCAACGACAGCTCAAAATAAATATAGTTAACCACAAATATTTAATAATTATATCTATTGATTCATTAATCATTATTTATATAATATTTATCATAAAATTATAAATTATATAAAATTATTTACATCAGAAAAAGATAAATTAAAATATTAAAATAATTTACAACAAAGAATATTAGGTTTAAACTAAACTGGAAAGACACAAATTAATTTAATCTTTATGTATCATCAATAGTATTAAATTAATATTACAAGTTATTTGTAGATATACTATTAAATAGTTTCAATGCATCATTAATAATATTAAAACTAAATAACTAGTCAGTTATCATGGAGAGAAAACTATTAAATAGATTAATTATACCTGGTTCTTCGCGGATACGGATAAATATCGGATATTTCATATTTTTGTTGAATACGGATCTGGAACTGGAAAAAGAAAAAGTTACTGAAAAACGAATTCGGATACATCTACTTAGTGTCTATATTAAAAAAAGTAATATGAATATGAATAACCATATTATAAGTTTTAACGGATATGAATTCGGATAATTCGAATTCTCTGACATCCATTTCCACCTCTGCTCCTCTTTTTAGTCCATTTCCATTTCTGCTGGAGCTAGAGTCATTTTTTTACTGCTACAGTCTCTACGGTGCCAAACCCAGCTCAATAGCAATTTGGAAGCCGGAGTCAGAGCACCCGGCGCTATTGTTCTCGATGATACGATGAATTCTCGACAGGGACACTATTTACCCGGCGCTATTGTTCTCGACGAAATTGGGATTTTCAGGACATAGGCACGATTCAAATATATAGATGAAGAAAGAAACATAGTGCTACGAAAGATCCATAGGATAGGCTAGCTTTCGAAAGTTGGACCCCTCCCCCGCGTCGTCCCCAACGGGCGACTCGGCGGCGCTCACCAACGCCGCCCCAGCGCCCCCCTCCCGCTGTAACACCTCGGTGTTAAGCATGCATTAACATTTTGCAAATCATGAGCATGATCATTATTATGCATCCATAAGCATGACATGAAATATAGAATGGAAACATACTAATGAAACGTGTGAAACATGACTATGAAACAAATGTAACATTTCAATTGTTTTTCATTATCTCAATACATACAGTGCTTGATTCTTGGGTGACCAATGTATGATGTGGCTAATAATTTTCTTAAACCACTTAGTCACACCAAGAATGTCATTTGGAACAATGTTCATGTTGACCATATTGCCTAATTACACTTCCAAGTAATAGTTTGACTTGTGTTGACCCCTGACGCTCTTGTGTTTGACTGTTTAGAAAGTGTAGCGTAAAGTGTTTGCATGTCAGAGCAACCTAAAACAAAGTTGTAGCAAATTTTATAAGGAACAAACTTTGTTTAGAAGCCAAGTCATGAAAACATGCACAACATGCACAAAACGGTCCCGCAAGTCAGTTTTGGGGGCAATTTGGTGACTTAGATTTTTTCTAAGTCCGAGCACTGATTTTCAAATTCAAGTATCGATGTTTGGAGCCTTGTATCTCCATAACCAGGCCGAACCAGCTCGAGCTCCAATTGTACAAGTTGCAGTTCACATGTAGATGTTCAAATTTGTCAATTATACCTTGCGCTATATCATCACGGATTAGGAGTTAATCACTGTCAAACTTCGCCTGTCAGTCGGTTCATTTGGAAACTGAATCGAGTTTCAGACACGCTACAGTGCCGACCGGGTTCAGAAAGCTACCGCCGTGTGGGGGGACACTCGTCGCTGGTTGCCTGACGCGTAGGCCACGCGCCGCAGCCGTCCTAGCGCTGCTGGCCATGACTTGAACTCGCGCCCGCCTGCCTAACGCGCTCGCCATTTCATTTTTCCCTTTCTCCGCTCGCCCGAAGCTCCGCAGCAACAGCCACAGCAACTCCGACGAGCTCGTGCTTGCTCGCCGCCGCAAAAACACGAACTACATCTTCACCACAGCTCCGTCGTGTTCTCCTCTACCTCCTCCATCTCTTAGCTGAGCCGATTGAGCTTTGGTAAGGGCGCATTGACCATTCCCGCCACCGCCGCCATGGGCGTGTCCTCGCCGGAGTTGAGGCCGCCGTGGTCGGGGTAGCTAGGAACTCTTCCGTCCTCTTCTATTTGTTTGGGTAGTATCGTGGTGACCTCCTGAAGCTCATATCGAGCTTAGCCGTGTCCCACAGGGCCGAACCTCACCGGAGCACTGTCGGACTGCGCCGCCGTCCGCCATGCACGCCGTCGCCCTTGCTAGGGTTCGGTAGAGGTTGAAGTGAGGGCATGAATGGGTGCGCATCGTTGTGGGGAGCACGCCGGTGCCGTCGGTTTCGCCGGAGGAGCCACCGTCGGCGAGCTTCGCCGTCGCCGCGCCATCGCGTGCGCCTCCCCTATTTTTGTCTCACTGACAAGCGGGTCCGGCTGACACGCGGGTCCCACGCGTCAGTGACTGTTGTTCATAGGGCTAGTTCAAAATTGCTGATTTGAATGCTGTTTTGTGAATTTTGTAACTCCAAATGTGTAGATCCAAATGGTGTGATTCAAATTTTGTTAGAATCACAGAGAAGTCTAGTATTTAAGAAAAATATGATATGAGCACATGATGTAGGAATTTTGGATGATTTAAATAGGAACTTGAAATGTGTTTTTAAATGCATGCAAACTTGTTTACATTATAACTTGAGTTTCTGTGCTCCAAAAATTATGAAATTTTGTGGGTGAGCTATTCTTGCTTAGTAGAAGCTCTGGTAAAAATTTGAGAGTCATTGCATGTATGGTTTTTGAGTTATAGATTTTCCTTTCATCATTGATTGGTACTTGTGTGAATTTTTGTAAATTATCTAGGAATCCTATGACCATGAAATTTTGTGGGGAGTATATCAGTACCTTAAGGATGTTAGGAAAACTATGAAATCTGTTGCTTGGCACTTCTAACTAAGGTTTCCTATTTATGCCTTTTTAAGCATTTATGCCTTGTCATTTTTGTGTAGGCTATTTTACTTATCTAAATGCCATGAAAATTTTATGGTAGTCTACTTAATGTAGTACTAGGCTACTGTAATTTTCTTAGATTTTTATGAGCACTAGAAATATATGTTGCTGTGGTAGCCCTAGTTTAAAATGAAATAAACAAATCTTCCTTAACGCATGATTTGTTAATAATGTTTGCCTTGGTGTATCTTTGAAGCATCTTAGATTACTGTGATGACTTGGCATGTTAGTACAAGTGGTTGTAGTAGTAGTATAGTAATACATGTTCTTGGATGATGTTGGCTACTTTGTAGAAGCGCTTTACTTCTACTATGTCCAATAGAGTTAAACATGTTCATCGACATTCCATGCATCATGATCATTACATGTCATCTCTCCGATGCACCTTTGCATTAGCACTTATACATCTGCATCATACAGGATCACAGGAGGAGTTGTTAGTAGCAGTTCAGGAAGAGCAGACCGGGACAGATCCACAAGAAATCCAGGCACAGGAGGTGCCAGAGGAGGAGGAGCAAGGAGAAGACTTGCCCGAGTGCGTGGATCATCAACCTAGTTCGTTCGAACGAGGCAAGCCCCGGAGCATTCTAAGTCTCATAATTTACAAAAGCAATTCTTTCTATATATATGAGTTATATATTTTTTGCATTAAGTTGTAGGAGTTGATTGAAACCGTTGATGCATTTATTACTATCCTTGCCTACATTATTACCTTTTACCCTGTTAGGTCAGGATCGAATAACTGCTTAGCCTTGCTTAGACCGGTAGCGATCGGTGATATCCGGTCACCTACATTATAGGTGGTTACTGGAAGAAATTGGCTATGGAAAGAATGATATCCTGGAATTAACCATATGTGATGGAAAATTTGAGACCGGACGGAAAAGTTGGAGGCAACCGGATAGGGTTCTGGGGTGCTGTTAGTTTCTGTCTGTGTCGATTAAGGATCGATCGTTGCTCGTCCCTCTTGTTATGTTGAACGCATGCCTCACATTTAGCTGGCCGAATAAAGTACCTTTCGATCGCGAAGCTAGTGGCACTATTCGGGCCGGGATCTACACGAGTGCGCGTATTGGTGCTGATGGGGGTATGATAGGGGCGCGAAGAGTGAGCCCAAGGGCAGGTGCAACCTGATTCCTGGCAGTCGGGCGGTCCCTGGGTACTGCGGCTCCAGATTATCCCGCGGCTACCTGAAAAGTGTCATTGGTGATCTATAGCTCACTTGATCGGTGAGTGTGGTTTGTGTGAGGAATAAATCACCAGCTGGTTAGGAATCGATTCGAATCGCCATCGCTCCTGGATAGTGAGCACTTGACTCGAGCTACGGCATCGTAGTAATTATGATGGAACACTAATGGTTATCTAGATGATATGAGCTATGCTAAATCTAAGT